ATTGAGGCCATACTCTTAAGTGAAATAAATAATACACACATGTGTAAATACCAAATAGTTTCTCTAGTGTGAGAAATTGAAAGTGTAAATAAGGATGAAAATGATTAAAATCAATAACTGATAATTTGAAATAAGAAAAGGTCCAAGGGTTTGGGGACCTTGACCTCTTTTATAAGAGCACTAATTCCTTTCATGAGGGCTCCATCCTCATGGTATATCATCTCCTAAAAGGCCTACCTCTTAAAACTATTGCATTGGGGATTAGGTTTCAACATATCCTAATATGTTGGGGGTGGCAAACAGAGAGTTAATATGAACATGTTTATTGTCTCAAAGCCACCTATAATATCACTTTCATATTTATGGAATGCTCTTTGTTCCTACATAAATGTAAGCATTTTTAGACTTACATGGCTGCTGTTTCATCAACTTGTTTAAATTTCAGAGGTGAAGTGACTCTGTTCTGGGTGTAGGAAAAGAAGGTCACTTATGTTTAGATCACTGCACAAGCTAGGAAGTGAATCAGACGCTTCACATATGTAAATTCTTTTAATTCTTATATGAACCCCACAAGGTGGGGGTTATTATAATTTCATAGATTAAAGAAAATTGTATAAACCATTGAGCTGGTAATGGCAGAATCAAACCATTCCTGTCGTAATTTGGAATGATATTTGTTCAGCTTTACCATGTTCTTATTAATTAGTTCTACCTAATTGAGAGCAGTTGACTGGAAGGAGGTGTAAAACGTATCTAAGCCCAAGGTCAGTCAGCCATTCTGCCTGACTCTGGTGGGGATGGAGGTAGTGGCATCTAATATAGAATGGAAAGCATGGTAGTATGAGTGAATTGCAACAGTCCTCAATTCTAAGGGACTAAAGAAAGGCTTTCTGTGACACAAGGCAGCTAATGATGAACTGCAAAAGCACCTCTTCTCATAACTCCTTTTTTTTTTTGGTTCTGGGAATCCTTGTGCTTGCGTGGCAGGTGGTGGAACCATCAACTGAATTTTTATAATACTTTTCACATGGTATGGTATTAGCCATGCTAAGTTTTGTATGTCCTCCCCCTCCCTGTAACTGCCTAATTTTCTATTTTCTAATTTTCTATTTCCTTAAAATGACATCTTCCCAAAGGGAGTAACTTTCATTCAATGATATGTGGACTGCAGCAGAAATCCATTTTTGGAGTGAGCAGCCAATAAATCCATGATTGGCAGGTTGTTAGGTTTTAGATAAGGACATGACAGCTTTGATCACCACAGACAGATGAAAGCAGGATCATTGCTATTCTTATCAAAAGGATGAAAACCAGATTTATACCACAAACCATGGTTTCTGTTTTAGTTTTATGAAAGGCAAATATCCCACAGTCTTCTGCTATTACATCTGTGTTTAAATTTTCAATTTTTAGGTTTGGGTTGATAGATTTAAATATTTGATTTTTACATATTAAAAAAGAATCATTTCATTTTATTTTGGAAATTATAGCTATAATGTACCTTTCTGTGTCTTTATTAGGTTTTCACATACATGAAAACATCAGTCTTCCAGTTGAGTCTACAAGGCTCATCATTTTACAGGGCAATCCTTGGAGGAAATTTTGGTTCTGAATCCCAATTAGTCCCAAACTTACCACACCATTTGACTTTCCAGTTACGATTAGCATCAACTCCTCGGCAGTGAAACTTTGAGTTCCTTGACCTTGTTTTTCTCCAAAACCGATCCTATACATAATTAAGAAAACAGGCAAGAAAAAAAGTACTTAAAAGTTTATTCATGTGCATTTTAGTAGCTCAATCAGTGAAGGGGTTATCTCCCTGAGGAGAGAGTTCTTCCATGAATAGATAAGCCCAGGAAGTAGAAAGTGGACTAGATTAGCAGTGGAAACCCAGGTTTATGTTCCAGCTTCTGCCGTGAACTTCCTGTCTCCTATCCTCTTTTGCCCTCATTTCTTCACTGCAAAGGTGAATTGGTTGGACTAGACCTGTAATTTTTTTAATGATTTGGAAAGTGCAATCTTTATTTACATGAGATCTTATGCAAAGACAAAATATGAAAATGAAATCAAAAAATTAGTGCTGTAATTAAGGAGGAAGTGAAGTCCTCTTTTGCACCTCTGGAATTACTCAATGGATCACCCACCAAGCATCCTTCTGATCTATGACTTATTCAGTTCTCTTTTCAATTGGATAGGCAAAGCCACTTACGTGTGTCCAGCTAAAATGGTATCCATCAACATTAAACACAGGCATTACATAGAAATACAGATGATTCAACGATTTTCTCATGGCTGGGTCAGTCCTGTATGTTTGAAGGGCCTGAAAGACAAAGGAGACTTTCTTAAAATGAATTGGTACCAATTAAGAAAGAAAAAGAGTATGAGGAATCTTCTCTATCTGTGAGAAATACCAAATACATTGGGTTAAAAAGGAATAAGTTAATGTGAACTATACTATTTGATATAACACATTCTTTATTGAGAATTTTGTTTGAATTAAACTATATTATCAATAATATTTTATCAAAGCTGGTAACACAGATGAAGTGGGCAGCTCCTACAATATTTTGGATCTGGCTAAATGTTTAGGCTGATGATGAAAGTAACCATTACAAATATGCTTTAAAAAATAATCAATTTATTTTAGTTTCCACATAATTGTGGAAAAAATAGTTACCTACATATATCTGATATCCTTACATGATGCACCATAACACAGAGCCACTTGATTGTTTATGACTAATTAGTACCATTTTTAATTCTTGAAAATTACTACATGGAGATCCTATTCTTCTCTCCTGAATTTTTAAGGAAAAGTTTGATAGATCATACATCTTTGCTATCCTGGCTGGGAGGTCTGGAAGGGGGTGGTGTAGTGCAGATGGCTCCAGGTGGCTCCCTAGATAATACATCTTTGCCATCCTTATTGTGGCTCCTTTGAAGTCTTGTCCCTGTGATTGGGTTTTACTAAATTATGTCTGGCCTCAAGTCTGAAGATTGTGCACTATATATTTGGATACAAATAGAGAAAAGTATAGTACATATTAAGTCAAGTTGAGAAAACAGACATTTTGAAATGTCGGTTCTATGGAATGGACTTTCTAAAAAGTTCTTTTTAATGTATTTTTATCTATGTGTATAATAGCTTGGAGGAATATATAAGAAATTTATAACAGTGGTTATTCCTGGGGAGGTGGAATAGAGGACAATGTGTGGGAAGGAGTTTCATTTTTAATTTTAATTCATTTTGATTGCTTAAATTTTATTATATTAAAATCATGGTTTAAAGTAGTTTTCTTAAAGAATTCCACTTTACTGAGGTCTCTTCGACATACAAAAAGCAGTACATATTTAATATACTCAACTTACTGAATTTAGAAATAAGTATACTCTTGTGAAAACATCTCCATTATCTATGCCATAAACACATCTATCATTTCCAAACATTCTCTCCACCTTCTTTTATCTTTTGTGTGATAAAAACACTTCATACAGAATATGTCATTTGAGCAAAATTTTAAATATGCAATACAGTATTGTTAACTACAGGGACTACAGTGTATAGAAGATCTCTAGACTTACTTTCTACAGTCAAAACTTTGTATCTGTTGACAGTATGAATCCATTTGTTTCTCTCAATTTAATCCTTAAAATGTCAATCTTCTCTTATTCTTTAAATAGAATTTCTGAATCTATAATAAGTAGTATTCTGTATTTACATGTTAAAAATTCTATGCATAGAAAATAATCTGATTCTTTGGGGAAGATCCCTAGCAGTGGAATAGCAGGGTCAAATGGAACTTCCAGTCCTAGTTCTTTGAGGTATCTCCATACTGATTTCCACAGTGGTTGCATCAGTCTACACTCCCACCAGCAGTGGAGCAG